GCACATTCCGTGGAAAATAGGGTTCCCCCAGAACGATGACCCGTACGGTTACAGAAGCCGTAAGAGAAAGATGGATCAGGAAGCAGATGTTGTGGCGCGGTTGGCATCGGAAATGGAGGTGATGAAGAAAACCATGAGTGTACTAGTAGCCGAAAGAGATGCAGCTCGGGTGCAGCATGAAGATCATCCAGCGGATCTCGGAAGCCAGCAGCGGAGAAGCAGCGTGGCTTCCACGGAGGCCCCACCGGAGCCTCTGGTGGTCCAAATTACTGCACCGGAGCCTCTGGTGGTCGAAATTACTTCATCGGAGCCTCCTCGCTACCCCGTGGACGATATAAAGGAGATGAAAGAATGTCATCTGTATTATCCTATCGGGAACATGTCCATGAAGGTAGCCATCGGCAGTGCTTTACCATGTTTACCTGGAGCACTCCACCACAACAACCCCATTCAAGATGGCTATGCTCGTGTCACGGTGGAGGACATAGTCCAAGAGTTTGAGGACCTGGAGATTGACATTGCTACACCTGAAGGGGAGAAAAGACTTGGAGATGTCAAGCGCCATTTCATTCTATGGCAAAAGAAGTTTATCAAGTTTCCAGGCGAGGCGCCAAGGACAACAAGTCCACCCCCCTACGGTGGTGGTGGTGGCGGTGGCGGTGGTGGTGGTGGTGGTGGTGGTGGTGGCGGTTCACCTACACCTCCGTCACGTCAGCCGACGCCGCCCCCCAGTCCACAACGTCCGGCGGGTGATCAGCCGCCGCCCCCCAGTCCTCGTCCGGCGGGTGATCAGACGACGCCCCCCAATCCACCTCCGGCAAAGAAGCAGAAGCAGTCCTGGATTATTAACCCGGACCCTTATGTACCTAAGACCACAAAGGTACCGGAGCCATCACTGAAGCCTCTCCCCACAAGGCCTTGGGAACGTAGTGCCGAGGAAGTCAACGCGGCCGCGGCTGCTGATTTGGAGAAATGGAAGGCGGACTGCAAGAAGAAAACAGAGCCCGAGCCCAAGCCAGTATTTTCTGATGAGCAAAAGAAGTGGGCTAAGTCATTTTTGAGCACACCGTCCCAAGCCGCGAAGAATCTGCCTAACGACTATGCACGTGAACTTCGCAGGCAAGCACTCATGTTCAAGGAGAACAAAGAGCGGGAGAAGGCCGAAAGTAAAAAAGGCGGGAAACAAGTTGCCCAGCTCGGGGAACAAAGTAAACAATCGATTGCCCCGCTTATAGTGGAAGCCTTCTGTCCTGATGCCCCCGAGATCATACAAGCTGCGGCAGCACAGGGATTGACTGTAACGAGTGCCAGAGAACAAGCGGCCAACTTAGGTATTACTCTTCGTGAACTGTTAGGCCTTGATGAGGCGCCAGTGAAGGAGGTAGTAATTACATATGTCAAGAATGGGCCTCTCGTCGAGCCTGCGGAGGAAAAGGATCTACCTCCACAAATGAAAGGTCTGCTGAAATGGTACAAGGGTTACATAAAAAATAAAAACGCCAAAGAATATATTTATGCGGAAGTTAGACATGAGCATCACTTCAAACATTACTATGTACAAATTGAACTGAGTGAATTGTTCCAGCTTTTCAATCTGCGCGAGCTCGATAAATCTATCATCAGTTGCTACGTTCTGTAAGTGATTTATTAATTTCTACCCCATCTCGTTCATATTGCCTGCACTATATATATGTCCTAACTATATTGTTGTGTCCGCTATTATACATGCAGAATGAAGATTAAGGAATGCAGAGTAAGGAACATCCATGATGTTGTGTTCATTGACCCACACATCGTTAATGGACATGTGTTGGAGCGTTACCCCGCCGACGTGGAGGCAGACCTGTGGCAGTTTCTTACAAAGCAGGAACTCAAAAGTGATATTCTATTTCCTTACCATTTTGAGTGAGTGTTTCTGTCTTGAGCACATTCTCTTTTGTTTACTCCATGCATGGTATGTGGCCGGCTAATCGATGAGTTATGCATGACGTACTGTGCATGTATCGTGTCCGCAGGTTCCACTGGATTCTGCTAGTAATTAAAGTTAACACCTCAGAATGTCTCGTCCACGACTCTGTGAATATGGATCCAAAGCTTTGGGGCGGCATGAGAAGAATGCTGCAGAAGTAATTATTTTCATTCATTTGCGCTCTATATCGATCGGCCTATTTCGTTCATTTCCTAATATCAAGTAACTAATTAATAACTCTCTTGTTCATTTAATTTTCTTTGCCTCGTAGGGTTTGGAGACGGTTCGTAGATACAAAGGTCGGTGAATTCAAAAAAGAGCTAGAATTCAAAATGTTAAAGGCTAAGAATGCTGGGGATATTCAGCCACCGGAGACCAATCTATGTGGATACTATGTCTGTGAGATGATCCGGACATACACCTCTGAGCGGGTTCCGAGTGATACCAATGCTAAGAGGAATAACCTCCGGTGGATGCTTAGTCCAGAAGCTCGCTTCCGACCACTTCAAGAGGAACTAGCTGGATGGTTCAGCAGGGAAGTCCTCCATCCTAAAGGAGAACACTATTACGAGGACGTAGAACTTTATATGCATTAAATCATGTATGGAAACTTGTTCAAAATTGTATATGGTCATCCGATGATATTGAATATATATTGTATATTCCTCTTGAATTCTTTTCGGTTCTAATTTCAAATTTATTTGAAATTGTACATTCATATGCATGTATGTAGTACCGTAGAATATATGAAACTCCTTCTAAATTAAAATAAAGCACAAAAGAAATAAAACAATACAAATTAAACAGAAAACAGGTTTAAGGGGGGAGGTTTAGGGGGGGGGCTAAAACCCTAAACCTGCGGCGGCCTTTAGTCGCGGTTGGCCAGAAGAACCGCGACTAAAGGTCCTCCGCCCCGACGGCCACCTGGCGCCCACGTGGACGGGCCTTTAGTCGCGGTTCTTAAGCAACCGCGACTAAAGGGGGGGGGCCTTTAGTCGCGCCCGGTCGGTCGCGGTTGCGCAACCGCGACTAATGGCAGTTGCGAACCGCGACCAAAGGCCTTTTTTCCACCAGTGCGTCCATGCTATCAACGACGACGGATATGCAGAGGCGGCGCAGCTAGGACGGTTTGAGGGAGAGGTGGCTGGCGGCAGGGGAGAAGCGGCAACGGCGGCGGCGGCATGCACAGACCAAAAATAAACTGGAGGAGATATGGTAGGAGAAGGGAACGGGGAGGGAATGCTTAGGTAAAGGAAACTTTTGATTTGATGGAGATTTGTGGATCGGCTGACGATTGAGGCGCCGTGGAAAAAATCGTGGAGAGGAAGCCTCTAGGAAGATTGAGCAACGTATGGAATGTTAATTAATTTAATTTTGATGACGTATGGAAAGATTAATTAATGTGACTAAGCGACTTATGGTAAGATTTTATTTAATTGATAATGTGCTATCGGTTTCTCCCTGTTTGTAACGCGTCTAGCTAGGAAAATTTGAAAAGGTTAGGAAAGTTTTTATTGTCAGGTGGTGGGATGTGAGACGAAAATAAACCGGACGGAAAAAACCCAGCGAAAGTGGTGGGACGAAATAAAACCAGCGAAAAATAACCGGCGGACTATTCACCAACTGCTCTATTAGGAGTAGAGATAATTGGTTTGCTACCAACATTTGGTATTTGGTAAGCCAACAATTGGCAAAAACAAAAGTTGCCAACATTTGGCAACTTTTTGTGAGATTGGTAACAAGAATTGGCAAGCAATCAATCTCTAGCCAATATTTGGCAGTTGCCAAAATTTGGCAATGCCAACTTTTGGCATCAAACCATTTATGCTCATACTCCCTCCGTTCCTAAATATTTGTCTTTCTAGAGATTTCAACAAGTGACTACATACAAAGCAAAATGAATGAATCTACACTCTAAAATATGTCTACATACGGATGTATGTGGTAGTCCATTTGAAATATCTAAAAAACAAATATTTAGGAACGGAGAGAGTATATAACAACACCATGTTAGGTTTAACTCATTAGGATTTACGTGATTGGATCTTAAGCCTATTCATTGGATCACCTAATTGCATGGATCAGAGAGATGGGTTAGGATATTACCACCAAAGGAAGCAGTCGACGCGAAGTCCCATGCATGCTTGATGCAGGCTTGGTGTAGACGGCCGCAACGGGTAGCAGCGCCCCTTCGGGCGCCACCGATACTGCCAATCATGCAGCGCTCCCCCAGATCGGTCATGGTTTTAGGAATATGGGGTGCAGGAGTAAACCGTATGTGAACTCGTCAGAAGGTAGGTGTCGGCTGCTCCCCCATCTAATATATGTGTGCGTGCGATAGGGGACCAATACCACTTGTTGGTTAGGGTGCCCCCGATCATGGGGTGTTAGTTGGGGTAAGGGTAACGTACATTGGTCATGACCACTCCCCTTAACGAAGGTTCGTTGAAGAGAAGGTTCACCTTCATACAAGCAGACGACGAACACAGTGGGACAGGTGTGGTACCTCGACACGGGAGTAAGCAACCACACGACCGATGACAAGGACTAGTATTCTGAGTTAAATCTCTCGGGTGGAGGCATGGTTCAGTTTGGTGAGGGCGAACCATTGACATCAGAGGGCGAGGCACGATCCTCTTTGGCCTGGAGTACTGCGGTCACAAGGTGCTCACGGATGTGTCCATTGTCAAATCAAAGAGGAACCCAAAATCCATTGTCAAATCCTGAGTTTAAGATGAACGGAAACATTTGTACGTGGACCTCGCAAGCATCCATATTGCCAAAATACCACACAATAAATCCGTAGCAATATATCATTGAACTTGATAACTGCAATGTTGTCCTTGGTATGGCAATAATAATTCGAGTTATTATTCCAATATATATAAGTAGTTTTGCGCTTGCGCACAAGTACGATTTGAGCAAACGCACAATCCATACGCCATGGCCTTGAAGATCACCGGAATGGCCAGGTATGCACCATGGCTTGGAAGACATATCACCAGAATGACCAGCTACGTGTTGCATTTTCTTAGCTCACAACATCGACAGACTCAAATCCCTTGTCAATGGAAGCCTTCACCGCGTCCATCACAACCTGCGTCTTCCTGGTGATGGCCGGCCACTTGCCCTCAGGCTTGGCGCCGGCGTCTCTGATGCCCTGCACCAGCCTGCAGAACTCCTGGACCATCAGGGCCTCCTGCGGCAGGTCAGTCGTGACGACGTGCCTGCTGGGCTGCGGAACCCACCCGGTGTGGAGCTCGGCGAAGTTCGACCTGGACGCCACGCTGAACGGGCCGGACTTCTCCTCGTACGGGATGATGAAGTCGGTGACGTGGAGCGTGCCGTCGGTGCCGACGACGGTCAGGTCCATGGTGAGGTTGGCGAGGAACGAGCAGTGGAAGGTGGCCGTCTTTCCGTCGGCCCAGTAGAGCGTCGCGCCGCAGGCGATGAGCACGCCGGCTTGGTTCTTGACAGGGTCGGGGAGCGCGATCACGTTCTTCGGGAGCTCGTAGTTGACGGCCCACAGGATCGCGCGGATGCAGTACCACCCGGCATCGCCGAGTACGCCCAGCGCGTCGAGGTCTGGCTTCACCCTGATGTCATTCTGGAGGAAATCTTCGTTTGCTCGGAAGCTGAACAGACTGTTTATCTGAAGCAACAAAAGAAAAGCCATGGATGTATCTTTAAACAGATAAACTATGAAAATGTAGAAATGTCCAGATTAAGTGAACGAAAACAATTCTGATGTTATATCAAGAAAGGAAACATCACAATGGTAATAGATCATTTCATAAGCATTTTAGAATCCATTATGTGCTATAGGGTCCTGTGACCTTACCAAAACTTCTCCCTGCCATAAACCAGGAATCACTTTGATGGTTTTGCTATATGTTTTGCCAGAGTTATAAAGTTACATCAACAAAGATAACATCACACTGCTACTGAATGCAAACAGTCATCTTGGAACCTGGTCACCGTAATACTTGTACTGGCCAATCGTAAAGCGATGATCATGATAAAGACTTCCAAGGAGTTCTAGAGGACAACACAGAATGAACAAAATCTGCAGCTCAATCAAGAGAGAAGTCCAAGAAACAGGAAACAAGACATCATTGTCCCTTCAAGTAAACTAAGCAAGGATAGATAGATGTCATATTAATTTTTTAATAATGCCTTCACCAAATTGGTTTGAGGTGCACAAAGACAGGCTAGTTCCAATTGCTAGCAACAAAATGACACTCGTCTTCACTGTGCTCAATAATTAGGCGCAACTGACGTATCGAAATCTAATGACGTGCCTTGCTTAATAACATCTTTATCAATTGTTTGATACATAGGATTCGGCGAGAAAAGAACCTACGCATAGTTTTGGGGGAAGGAGCAAATCAAACAGAGAATATATCTCAAGTAAGATTATGGTATCAAGTGCTAGAAACACAATATGATTCACTGCACGTCCACCATGGTCAATTTGGCAACTAGATGTAATCATGTAAAGGTAGCTGTTGTATCTTGCCTAATACTAATATTTTCATCTTCTTCTTTTGTAGTTCGTCTTTGGTTTCAGCGCACTGTCATTTTGTCCTTTTCCTTTTGTTATGTGAGCATCCTTCCAATTTTTTATCATGTGTTATATGTTGTCAGTGAAATGTTGATCCTTGTCAATAAACATTTGCTCCAGTAGTGAACAATGAATTGGCTCTCCGTACCAGACCACATATTTATATGGTTTTTAGTAAGAGTTGTTGCAGGGAAGCGTAAGAAAACATAATGTAGCTACAGACAAACGAGATTAGTGCTTTGCAATGTAATTTTGCTCACCAAGTGATAGTCCTTCGCACAGAGATTATGAAACTAAATCATTTTATCTTCCACCACTATGTCTGACAAAATTTCACATTGTTCAAAAGGCAAAATCATCTCATAAACCAAATTCAGTCTTTGTTACCAAGAGGCAATTAACTAGCCCTTGTTGGCTGGATACAACGACAAACTGCACTTAGTTCAGAGTTCACTAGAGAATCTTTTGAAGCTTAAGCAGATGCACTAGAATACTAAGGCAACCTGACAAGATCCACAAATTATTGGTAATGTATCTCCATCCAGGCCGGCTCGAACACAAATGCAATGGACCACATCAACAATCGGATAGTAGTATATTTCTCTAGATAATTGGACAGCAAAATTATTATAGCAAGAGATTCAGTTTGAAGAACTCACAACTCTGACGTCGCCGACGTCGGCGGGGAGGAGGTCGCGCATCTTGGCGGTGCGGGGGTGGTGCATCCACATGGTGGAGTCCATGAACTGGACGCCGCTGGCGTCGCAGGCGGCGAGGATGGCGTCGAGGTCGGCGGCGCAGAGCGCGGTGGGCTTCTCGAGGAGCACGTGCTTGCCCCGCGCGGCGGCGGCGGTGGCCCACTGCACGTGGAGGCTGGTGGGGAGCGGCAGGTAGACGGCGTCGACGGCCGGGTCGTCGAGGAGCGCCTCGTAGGAGCCGTGCAGGCGCGCGCCCGCGGGGAGGCCGTTGTCGGCGGCGAAGAGGCGCGCCTTGGCCTCGGAGCGGCTGCCGACGGCGGCCACGGCGGCCGCGGGCGCGGCCAGCAGCATCGCCCGCGCGAGCTTGCGCGCGATGGACGCGCAGCCCATGATGCCGAAGCGCACCGGGCGCGGCCGCTGCTCCTCCGGCGCCGGCGCCGGCGCGGCGGACGACATGGCGGGCGGGCGGGCGGCGGGTGCTGGTTGGGTGGTAGGGCGCTGGGTGGGCTTGTGTCCGGTGTGTGTGTGTGGAGTAGGAGCTAGCGCGAGTGGGCTAGCCGAGTGCTCACCACCAGTAGCAACGTGCGACCTGAATCCAGACTTGCAGAGTACCGACCACATTTTTTGTTTTATATTATTGTTTAGATTGCTTACCACATGTGTCACATAGTATAGGGTTAATTATCCTTTTGTTCTCAGTGATGTCCATCTACTCAGTTTTGTCCTCAAATGCGAATTGCGTTCAGTTTTGCCCCTAGTCCGTGCGCACCGACTCGTTCCGTGAACTCTGGTGTCTCCGTCAGGTCAACGTTTTGACTCGGCCCTTACAGGTGGGACCAGGCGGCAGAGACGACCAATTTTATTCAGACAGTTGCACGCGTGGCTTGCGGGACCCAGCAGAGAGCCGTTGAGCATAGAGTCGTTGCGGGTGTGCTATATAAGCGGGCGACCGCAGCGGTGACCACGGCGACAGAGAGCACGGCGCTGACCACAGCGAGAGAGCCGGAGCACGGCGGTGGGAAGCTAGCTGTGGAGGGCGCGGCGGCGTTGAGATCTCGTTTGGCTCCGAGCTCCATGTCTTCCGCAAGCTCCCGCGCCACCTCGCAGATGCAAAGCCGGGCACGTGTGGAGATGCCTGTCTTCGTCTGTCTGCGGTGCCGAGCGAGCGTTGATCGGAGGGTTTCTCACCCACCGAGGAACCAGAATCGTCTGTTCTACGTGTGCAGCGAGAATGGGGTAAGAATCAGGGCAATTGCACCATTTTCGTGGTCGGGATCTTTGAGCAATGGGTTGATCTGTTTCGTGTTCATGCAGGTGACATGCTTCTTTCTTTGGGTCGATGCTCTGGCCAAGACTCTGATAAATGAACTGCAAGAAGAGCATGAAGAATGGTTGCGCATGCTGCCCCGAACCGCAGTGGCCGCAGCACGAGCTCCGGAAGAAGAGATGAAGGGCGAAGCACACACTGACAGAGAGCTAGCTGTTGAGCTTAGGGTGTTGAAGAAGAAGGTTAGGAAGCTTGAAGATCCAGCACTACCAATACCCATTTGCAAATACTTTTGGGCATTTGTAGGTATGGTAATCGCACTGGTTGTAATATTGAAAATGTATGGAAAGGCATGAATTATGGAGGAATTTGTAATCTTGAAATTGTATGAGAAATTCACCTAGTTTAAATGTTGGTCAAAGTTGTTTAAATGTTGAAAAAAAAGAAGAAGTGACCAGCATTTAAATATGTTGAAAAAAGAGAAGAAATGAGGAATTCAGAAACTTTTGATCAATGAAATGCAGCTCTCTGCTCTGCCTTTCTGTCAAAAAAGTTTGCTCTTGGGCCAAATTCAGAGCGTAGAGCCAAGTGCAGGCTAGACTAATGGGCCAACTGCATCCAATTCGACCCATTCGGGGGTTCGCTTGCATGTTTTTCTATTTTCTGTTCTGATTTAATTTAGACAGTAAATCATAACGCTGAAACTTTTTGTGGAAGCTAATTAATTATTCCAGAGCCAAACAATTAAGGTTAGAAATTTTTTGGAGCTGTTAAATATTTAATAACAATTTAAGTAATCCAATTTAAATACACCTTGATTTAAATCAAAGACCAAAATGACATGAAAAATGTGCCTCAGCTCTGGTAGAGGTTTACACCTGGTGCCAAAATAAATGAACATTTTTTAAGGGCATTACATTGAGAAAAAACTAATTTGTCTAAAAAATGAAGGGTGGAATGCACAAAAAATTGGTGCGTCTGGGGACTCAAACCCAGGACCGCGCGGGTTTGTGGTGTTTAGGGCTGCGCTGGTAACCGCTAGGACAGATGGCAAGACTCTGACATGGGTAGGGAAGGAAGGTATACATAGTGAGACTGTGAAATTTGTCAAAAAAATAGTGAGACCTTGAATGTTTGCACACGCGTGAGAGTGGTTTTTCTTTGTTTTGCACTGAAATTTTGGAGGGTTGGAAGGTTGGAAACGTATGTTTGCACTGCCACGTAATTTTGGTTAGAGTGACACTTGGTTTAGGGTTAGAGTGGCACTTGGTTTAGGATTTAAAGGGAATAAATTTGCATGTTAGTTCATGACTTAATTTTTTGAATGAAACGGAGGGCTTTTCACCCCCTCCGATTTTCATTAATGAAAACCACAACTTCTCGAACTTCATGACTTGGTTTAGGGAAGAAATTATATGTTTGGGCACGAACATTATTTAACACACATAATAAACCCTAATAAATAACTTAGATAAGATGCAACACAAGTACCATTACAATAATAAGTTCATGGACAGTTCACGGACACATGACGAAACATGACACGACACGACATAGAAAAGCAACAAATAAAAAATGAAACAGTCTTCATCTTGACCTCCTTCTTCCACTTTGGCCGCGCACGCCCCTTCAACATCATCTTCATCTTCACACCTCCTCCTCCTCGTCGTAGGGAAGGGAGTGCATCCCGGATAGAGTGGGGAAGATGCTCTCGTAGTTGGTGTAGATGTTGTAGACGGTGAAGAAGATGGCCTCGCAGCCGCACCAAAAGACTTGGCCGAGGAGCTCGCGCGTGTCAAACGGGTTGGTGGAGGTGACCGTGAGCAGTAGGAGGATGCTGCCACGGAACCTCGTTGAGGGTGAACATCCTCGACGAGCCCCGTGGGAGGTGGGCATAGCCGGCTCTGAGGAAGGCACGGGTGAGTTCGACGGAACCCCTCCACCTTGAAATAGCCCACACACGGAGCTCCCTCTCCACGAGCACGCATGGTGGGTAGCGCAGCTCCGACACGACAGGCGGACGGCTGAAGGTCCGCCCGTTGAACTGCATGGTCTCGCTTGGGGAGGGCTCGATCGATTGGGTGTTTGAAGTTGGAGAGAATGGATCGGATCTGGCTTATGGGTGGGAGAGGAAGATAGGCACCCCATTTATAGGCATGTGGGTGGGAGAGGAAGAGAGAAAGAATGAGAATGGTGCGTGTGTGAATCCGAACGCGTGTGTGTATCCGGACGCGTGTGTGTATCCGTTACATTTTGCACTCTTAAATTTTTGCACAAAAACGATGCATGGGGCGCGTGCGTGCATCTGAATCACTGCATAGCTCTTTGACCGGAAGGTGCATCTGACTCGCTGCCCTGAACCACCTAGCTGGCCTCGCTAGCCTAGCGCGCCTAGCGCGCCTCGCTTGCCTCGCTCGCATGCATGCATATTGCAGCCTCCCGTGCATGCAAACCCACGTCGCCGCCTCCCATGCATGCACGGCTTGGAAAGGCTGAGACGGGCTATTTACTGCGGTCTCAGGCCCAGACAACGAGACGGCCCAACGGTCCATCCAGCGCGCCCGATATTTGTTTAAGAAAAAGAATCTCCCAGCCAATCAGATTGCATCTCGCGGATTGCCCCCCTCCTCCCCACAAATTCCTTCTAGAAGGGTTAGATCGACGACCCTTGATTGCCGGTAGGGTTAGATGAACGGTCCTTGTTCAGCGCTAGGGTTAACGGGGTTTGGGAGGGGTTTGGAGCAGTCAAAGCTATGTTTGACCAAATTTCAAATGAGCATAATAAATTAAATAAAAATCATAAAAATAAAAAACCTGCGCACATAGTCTTCTTATGTCATATACTAACGATTTAAGTTGATAAACAAGGTTTACATACATTTAAACGATAAGTTCATGCGTATTGTGTGATATCTCGAGTATCTCAAACTCTCTTGTATGAAGTGAAGAGAAGTGTTTTGGGGAAATGAACATGAAAAACTCAAAAAACTCACCACAACTTCATTTTAGAGTGACTAAGAAGGATCCAGGCTTAGTTTTTCATTTTGATGTTTTACACTTGTTTAAATCTTGGTCAAAGTTAAGTTTGACCAGAATTCAAATGAGCAAAACAAATTAAAAAAATCAAAAAATGGACATAGTATGTATATATAGAATATATGTTTAGGAAAGTTATTTGGCTGATTTAGACAAGGCCGAAAAAACCTTGCTTAGAAATGAGGCCGTTTACCCTACCTTTGGACCCCTCATTTTAGCACATTTTTAATGAAAATTTCAAAAACGTCACCACAACTTCATTTTGGATTGACTAAGAAGGATCCAGGCTTAGTTCTTCATTTTGATGTTTTAGACTTGTTTAAATCTTGGTCAAAGTTAGGTTTGACCAGAATTCAAATGAGCAAAACAAAATTCAAAAAAATCAAAAAAAAGAAAAACCATGTGCTCATTCAAACATCATCCAACAGATTTAAACATCATGTCAAACATAGTTCTAACATAGGTCCAACATCATCCAACAGAAATACAACATTATTCATAATGTTTCATAATTATTCATATATAGCGTTCGGGCTTTTGTCTGTTCCTTGAGCTTCTTGCCATCACTTTGCTCCTCGTGCACCTTGTGCTCATTGCTTCTTCTCTTCTTCTCTTGGTTGTCGGTTGTTGGAGATCGTTGCAGAAAATAAAAAAATTCTACGCATCACCAAGATCAATCTATGGAGTAACTAGCAACAAGAGAGAGAGGAGTGCATCTTCATACCCTTGAAGACCGCGAGACGGAAGCGTTACAAGAACGCGGATGAGGGAGTCGTACTCGACTCAGATCTTAACGCCGAACAACGACACCCCCGCGTTCAACACACGTGCAACCCGGTGACGTCTCCCGCGCCTTGATCCAGCAAGGAGGAGGGAGAGGTTGAGGAAGAGAGCTCCAACAGCAGCACGACGACGTGGTGGTGATGGAGAGGCAGTACTCCGGCAGGGCTTCGCCAAGCTCTTACGGAGGAGGAGAGGTGTTGGGGAGGGGAGGGCTGCGCCTTGGATGTGGTGTTGCAGCCCTCCCCTCGCCCCTCTATTTATAGGAGGAGGGGGAAGGGGGCCGACCCCCTTTAGATGAGATCTAGAGGGGGGGCGCCGGTCAAGGGGATGGGGCTTGCCCCCCAAGCAAGGAGGCGCCCCCTTTAGGGTCCCCCCCCCCAACCCTAGGCGCATGGGCCCAAGGGGGGAATGCGCCCAACCCTCCAAGGGCTGGTTCCCTTCTCACTACGGCCCATGAGGCCCTCCGAGAGAGGTGGCCCCTTCCGGTGGACCCCGGAATCCCTCCGGTGGCCCCGGTATAATACCGGTATGCCCCCGAACTTTTCCGGTGACCGTATTACAACTTCCCATATATAAATCTTCACCTCCGGACCATTCCGAAACTCCTCGTGACATCCGGGATCTCATCCGGGACTCCAAACAACATTCGGTAATCACATACAAGTCTTCCTAATAATCCTAGCACCATCGAACCTTAAGTGTGTAGACCCTACGGGTTCGGGAATCACGCAGACATGACCGAGACAGCTCTCCGGCCAATAACCAACAGCGGGATCTGGATACCCATGTTGGCTCCCACATGTTCCACGATAATCTCATCAGATGAACGACGATGTCGAGGATTCAAGTAATCTCGTATACAATTCCCTTTGTCAATCGGTACGTTACTTGCCCGAGATCCGATCGTCGGTATCCCAATCAAGGTTGGAAAAAGCGGTAGGCGTAAGTGAGGCGGTTGGCCTTCGCCTAGTGCCTAGGCAGTGCCTAAGCGCCCTAGGCGCGGCCTAGGCGGTAATACAGATTTGACTCGTAGTGTATTTGTGATTATTATATGGGTGTTGATATTAGTTTATGGCATATAAATAAGTTAATTGCCGTCTATTGCCACTGGAATATAACCAATTTCGCATATCAGTGCAGTATGTGACATGATTTCTTGCTTGGGTAGGCAATTCCTTGCTTGCCCTGCCTAGACCTCCATTTATGCCCTAGGCAAGGCGTTTGGCCATTGCTTAGCGCCTAGGCGTGCCTAAGCGCCTCCTAGGCACTGCCTTTTCCAACAGAGATCCCAATACCTCGTTCAATCTCGTTATCGGCAAGTCACTTTACTCGTTACATAATGCATGATCCCTTGACTAACCACTTAGTCACATTGAGCTCATTATGATGATGCATTACCGAGTGGGCCCAGAGATACCTTTCCGTTATACGAAGTGACAAATTCCAATCTCGATTCGTGCCAACCCAACAGACACTTTCGGAGATACCTGTAGTGTACCTTTATAGTCACCCAGTTACGTTATGACGTTTGACACACCCAAAGCACTCCTACGGTATCCGGAAGTTACACAATCTCATGGTCTAAGGAACCGATACTTGAAATTAGAAAAGCTTTAGTAAACGAATTACACAATTTTGTGCTATGCTTAGGATTGGATCTTATCCATCACATCATTCTCCTAATGATGTGATCTCGTCATCAATGACATCTAATGCCCATAGTCAGGAAACCATGACCATCTGTTGATCAACGAGCTAGTCAACTAGAGGCTCACTAGGGACATGTTGTGGTCTATGTATTCACACATGTATCACTGTTTCCGGTTAATACAATTATAGCATGAATAATAGACAATTATCATGAACAAGAAAATATAACAATAATTATTTTATTATTGCCTTTAGGGCATATTTCTAACAGCGGACAGACCCAAGGATCCTCCTCCCTCCCGCCGCCGGAGCGGCCTGCAGAGAGAGAGGGAACCGGCGGCGCGCAAGGGCACCGGCCTCGTCACCTCCTTTGATCGCCTGTGTGATCCTACTTTTTCGGGAGCGGTTGGGTTTTTTTATTGCATGGTATAAACATGAGCTAAATTAGAAAGTTCTACAAAATGATTAACCATGAGCTAAATATACAAAATCTACACCAATTCAAACGGGAGTAAGACAAAAAAAACTCCTTTCTGTACCTATAATCCTTTGGAAGGAAACACGCAGGGCCTGCCTAAAGTCTTCGAGAGCGGTGAACGGGATGGGCTGAGTGGATAGGGACTTGCCTTTGCGTGCGACCGGCCGGCCGGCCTCGGTGACCGCGCTCCAGAAATATTGGCGCGCCGCCCGCGCGCGTCCCCAGCCCATGCCGCCATGCGTGGCGCGCCGCGGCTGGCGAAGGCGCGAGTCCGCTGCCCACGCGGCGGCCATGCGCGCCCGCCCCGTCCGCCCGCCCCGCGTCACCGGATAAGGGAGCCCGGCCCACCCCTCCCCCGCTCCCGGATCGCCGCGAGTTCCCTTTTGACTTTGCCTCCCGCCCGCCCGCGCGCCCATCCCTCCGGCGCCAGCAAAAATGTGGACGAGGGCGTCGTGATCCGATCGCCCTGAACTCAACGGAAGGAGGGCGTCGTGATCCGCGCGGCCTTGCTAGCCTGACAAGAGCCTCTCCGCGGCAAGGTACGTGTTCTCGGTGCGCGGGCTATGGGGTGCACTCCATGTGCTCGACGAAATGGCCCCGAGAGAGACAGAGATCGTACTTCTGCCGTTGCCGTCTCCTCAGTTCAGAGTCTGTTGGTCCTGGGCAGTGGGCACAGTCCTGCTGAAATGGCGACGTTTTTCTTGCATAAAGAAAAACGCAAGGAATTCAGCTTCACTTGCATCAAGCTGTTTTGTGGTCTGGAATCTGATCCCTGACTTGTTTGCGCCTTCTTCGCGTAGGCGGTAGCTAGGTTCCGTACGTGTCAATAAACATCCAGCCCTCTTGGATTGAGTGTACCGATATTTATGTGATGTGCTCTCCGGCATATTACCTCGAGTATAAGCAGGGCCTAATGGTGTTGGGCTGCTGGCTCTAGTCCGTTTATCTCGTGCAGTTGTAAGTAGGCTTTTCGTATTCTTGCTTGTGTGCTACAAAACTGAGAGAGGTTTACATAGACAACACGCACTGGTGTTGGCACTGTAGTCAAGATTAGTTAGAATTCTTGTTGTTACAGTTGGGGATGCCTTGACTGATACCATGACCTTGATAAGGAGCAATGATATCTTGTTCGTGTCAATGACATGCCCCCTCCTCTGCTGGTCCGCTGACTTGCTGATATGATCCTGTTTTCTAGGCCTAAAACGAATCAGCAAGAGTGATGCTCGCCATTATTTACCATCTGGAACTCAAATGGAGGACTATTTTGAGCGCATCGTAAACCTTGCTTGGCAGTTACGACAACACTTGACACAATTCATAGGTACCAAGCTGAGCATACAATGTTTTGATCGATTTAAATCATCAGGGGGAAACAGACTTGCTGATAGTCCAGTACACATTGCTGCCTTGTTTCTTTGTTGATTCTGAATCACCGTTTTGTCAGTTATCTTTTCCTTCTCTGGAGCAAACTTATTCTGGCATATGATTTTGTTTCTTAGATACTTAGATACTAGATACTAGCAAGAATGTGTTTCATCCACTCTAGAAGAAATCTGATCAAGATGGGAGTTTTCTGTACATTGTTGTTTCTGTTGAGTTTTTTTCCTTTATTTTTATGTGCTGGTATTTTTTTTTCTTCATAGAAAATGTGTTTGGGTGCATTGATTGGATTCCTCAATGTCATGAAGTCCAATTCTCTGCTTACTATGGAGGATCATTGCCTGACACTGAAAGATATGTTCATGGACAGAGTTCTGCGTTGTCCATTAGCAATACTACAGAAGAGTTATCCATTAGTAGTACTACAGAAGAACAGACTGCACATAGGATATCTGAGATCACAATTTTCAGAAATGGCGTATCCGAAATTTGTCAAAGGTTAGTATTCCTGTGCCTTCTTTAATCAGATAAAGTTAATGCTTGCAGATAGTAATATTTCTTATCACACTAGCTAACCATGTGTTTTGATGTTGTTTCTCGCGTCCACTTTGTAACTTCGTGCTATCAGATCATATGCTAGCTGGTCATCCTATATTTTGCGTGGCTACAGATTGGGACAAAGATTGGCACTCCATTTGCGAGGGCTGTGCAGTCTTTTTGTAAATGAGATTAATACCAACCTAACCAGGTTGGTTACCGTCTTCTGACTTCCAACTTCTTTGTGTTGATCCAAGTGCTCAAGTCCATTCAGTGAAACTTCTGTTCGCAGATGGTTGCTAAGATCTGCTGCATGCTCACAGGTCCTTGCATCGTTTCTGGACAACATTACAGGGCTCTTCTGAAGATATAGGGTGGTTGCAAAGAACTCAAACGTCGCTTTATACAGTTGATGGCACATCTCGCTTTCAGGAGCTTTTGCATGATGTCAGGTGAACTGTTTTCCCTGCCTAGTGAAGTGTCAGTTAATAAGGAAATGGCATAGTATTTAGTAGGAGTATTACTCAGTTATTCTTTTGCATTGTGTTTATTTTTTCAGAAATGGCATGCATTCCCTGCCTGATACACTGGTTTACTTGCTCATCCCTGGTGAGTCATCTTTCTCAGTTTTCACAGATAACCTTATTATGTCGTCGTAGCTTGATGGTGACTCACAGCGTTCCTCTATGCAGGCCTTTTTAGCAACCACAGTCCACTTTACTTTCTCAACACTAAAAGATTCTTTTCAAAGATGGGGCTTACTTGCCATATTGCAAAGATTCATAGTGAGGTAATTCAGCTCAATAGGGTGGCATACAAGATCTTTCTAGTTTGTCGACCTATATTTGTTTCGTGTTGTGCATGTGCCGTAAACCAAGGAATGTCCGTCTCTTTGTTTCTCGTATCTTCCTCGTATTTTCTGCAGTGTATGCTTTACAAGTTCGTGTTTCTTTCTGCCGCCCCCTGTAGGTCTGTACTTACCTTCCATTTTGTTCAGGCATCAGTGGAGAAAAATGCACGGGAACTGAAACTATACATCGAGGAGCTCTACTGGGGATCTGGCAAACAGGTTTTGCTCCTGGGACATAGCAAGGGCGGAGTCGATGCGGCTGCCGCACTCTCATTGTACTGGTCCGAGCTTAAGGGCAAGGTCGCTGGTCTGGCACTGGTTCAGAGCCCGTATGGCGGCACCCCAGTGGCTTCCGACATCCTTCGAGAAGGCCAGATCGCTGACAGGGAGACGCGGAGGATCATGGAACTGATAGTGTGCAAACTAATCAAGGTCGTTCACTGTCTTTGTTCATACCTCAACTAAAAAACGGAGTTGCTTTCATATCATGCATGTTCTCTAACAAGTGGACTGCCGCAGGGCGACATGAGAGCTTTGGAGGACCTCACATACGACAGGAGGAAGGACTTCATTTCCAGGCACAGGCTCCCAGTGGACGAGCTGCCGATCGTCTCCTTCCACACCGAGGCCAGCACCGCCCCAACGGTGCTCGCGACGCTGACCCGCATCGCCCAGGCTGAGCTCCTCCCGCTACTCGCGGTGGCACCCCTGCCGCGATTCCTGTCCGAGTATGCAGAGTCATTGCTCGCTTCTCTGAAGCTGCCCGTGGTGATGCCGGTGTCGGCCGCAATGGCGGCCACCGCGCTCCACCTGCGGCTGCGGTATGGGGAGAGCAGCGACGGCCTGGTGACGCGGCGCGATGCCGAGGTGCCGGGGTCCGTGGTGGTCAGGCCTGAGCGGAGGCTGGACCACGCGTGGCTGGTGTTCTCGACGCTGAGCAGGCGCCGCGCCGAGGCCGACGCCACCCAGGTGTGCGAGGCCCTGCTGGCCATGCTCGTCGAGATCGGCGGCAAGAGACGTCGCTGCCTCATCGAGGAGATCGTTACATGAATTATCTTCTCTCTCTGCTTGTTTGTTGAGCTAGAACTTTCTATATGGAGTACAATTACAGTTTCTTTTTACAGCAATAAGACTTTATTTCTCAAATGATAGTGTCAGGAGCTGTGCAACTGTCTTCATCTTCAGTTAGCTGTAGCAGCACACCTTCAGTTAGGCAACGCCTGAGATGATCCGATACCGCTTCGCTAGGCACCTACGGCTGAGATGGCCCCGGTTCTTAATTTGATGGTAAACAGTCTTGCACTCTGTCGTGGCTCCTAGCTAGCTTGCAAAAACGTCTTATATTGTGAGACAAAGGGAGTAGTATATAAGCTGGAGAGTGGGTGGATGGGCGGCACGGCATCAGAAATAAACCCTAGTTCTATCTCTTCCTCCTTGCGCTGCCAGTCTAGCTTTACTCTTTTGCTCATGTTCTTCCTTCCAACTTGGCTACATTTTATCATTTCTTCCCCCTGTTTTTGCCAGAGTTGAGCTCGGTGATCACTGAATCTCTTCCGTGCCGGAGCCATCGATTAGCTACGTTTCTGATCATCTTGATTGGTTATAAAATCCCTGCGGCGACGAATTGGCGCTGCACGAGTTCATCTTCTCCAATTCTGGAGAGTTTGCAAGGTGATATCTCAAAACTTACCACCATGGTTGCTCAAATTGGGTTGGCTCTGAACAGAACAGATCGGCAGGGGGAGCAGCAGATCCATCTGGATCTAATCAATCGGATCGGGGCTAAGCTTTAACACTCCTCCGCACAATCATGTGCCTTTGAGTCTGATTATGGAGGTGCCACACCTGTATCTGTTCCTTTGGCAAATTCAGTGCCAAGGTCCATGCCTTTGCCTGCAAATCAGAGAGAGCAAATGGCAGTGAGTCGAGGAACATACCAACCAACACCCCTTGCAGTTTCCCACCCACCCCCTACACTACCCTTGACACAAATTCCACCAGTTCCTAGTCCACCACCCCAATATCAGGAACATATCAGGAACAACCTGAATAAGAGCCCTGAGGATGGTGCAACTATATATGTGACTGATCAGACTGAGGCCAGTCCCCTGTAAGTCAGTAGCTAGCACCATCCTGAGTAAGCTAAACATCAGTATCACCCATCAGGCTGCTAGGATCAGCATTATATTATACGAGTTCCATCGGACTGTCCAGCTCTTCTCCAATTTTAGTTATAACTAGAGAGTTACGAGGGCCGACCACTGCGGAGCTCAGAGTCACGGCTCAGGTGTCAAATCCTATTGGGGCGAAGCCAAAACCATGACTCTAGCGTCCATATCTCGGCGAGATGGCCAAGCACATACTGTATGACACTTGATTGGCAACATTTAGCCGTAAAGATGTTTCCTTGGACAGAAAAAGTTGCATGAATACCAGTGTTGACAAAACTAACAGTTACAGTCCTCGCTTTATTGAGAATCTCATGAGCTGCAGGGTTGGAAGCAATTGATGCATCAGCCCGTTGAGGAGCTAGCGAAGAAAGACGAGGGAGAACCAGGATTGTTGAAAATTCGCTCACAGGATTGATCACATAAAATCACGACGAACACACGCGCACAAAAAACTGATAGCCAAGGGGCCCTTGTCGTGTCCTCTTTTCTCTTTATTTCTTTTTTTCCTTTTTCTCTGTGATACAATCAACTCACGCGACTCCCTGCGTATATATATACACACCCAACCGGCACCAAAGGTTCCAAACCTACTCGTGCCAATCGTCGACACCTAAACCAAGCTAGACTCAAACTAGTACTGCCCGGGCAACACAATCCTAGCCGGACTCTTCCTACTCCAAATACTAGTACGTACTAAGTACTTTTCTAATCTAATTACCGGCAACGCTGACTAGTCCTAACCGGACATAACTAGCACACTTCTAGCCAAATTCAAATTTGTTTGGATTAACCTAACATTCACCCCTAATCCAAACATGGAACTCTTTACTCGATAAGACACACAGACGATCACCCGTTCATCTTGTCCTGGCTGCCTTCGATGGACCACAACTTCTCTCTTCTTCAACGATGGCCACCACTTCATCAAAATCTTTTTCATGCCGACTTGTAGACTAAAACCAACGATTACTCGGACTACCAGCCACGCTGACACATCTTAGCGTGCTACATGCCGACTAAACGCATAGCCTCATACAGGAACTCGACTTAACTGGTGTGCATCCTCTTCACGTTGATCTTCATCTTCTGGTCGACTACTTGCACATGGGGAGACACATCTATTCACCCGCCACATCTTCATTTTTCCATCATCGTTGGTGACACAACTTATCAAATGATGCTTCACGTCCGACGGCATCACAAGTCGCCATATATGCGCAACTCAACTTCACCGTATATGAACTCGCCGGAACTCCTTGATCACGAACGGAAACGCAAGGCACAAATTCCTTTTTTCGCCCGCTCTCGCTCGCAATTCTCCTCCGACAGTGACGCGTCTCAACTGTAGCAGAAGACCCACACACCTGAGCTTTTGGACGCACCTTACAAGAACTCATGTGCACACCTTGATGACAGCTCGCAACTTTGTCGCCTCTTCCTCGCTCCCACCAACGATGATCTCGATGATTTCCTTGGTGTCGCAACTTCGGCACCTCCATAACCATCAATGATCACCAACGCCTTGCCGCCGACAGCCCTGTCGCCCTCCTCCAGGTCGTTCCGCCAAACGACAATCACCCGTCGCCTCGCTTGCGACAACGCCCTCGTCGCCTTCTCGTTGCCGCTCCGCCGAACGACAACCGCCCGATCCTCCACGTCGTTGCACGCCCAACGACTAAATCGCCTGCTCTTCCTCTTCGTCGCTACACCAGCGACTCAATTGCCCGCTCCTCCTTGTCGTTGTACCACCCAACTACTAAATGGCCCGCCCCAAGGCGCTAGCAGGTCGCCACCCCGGGCAAGGCGCAGCTTCACCTCGACCTTGCTCTAATACCAATTGTTAGAAATTCGCCCACATGATCGATCACATAAAATCACGACGAACACACGCGCACAAAAATTGATAGCCAAAGGGCCCTTGTCGTGCCCTCTTTTCTCTTTATTTCTTTTTCTCCCTTTTCTCTATGATACGATCAACTCACACGACTCCCTGTATATATATATATACACACCCAACCGGCACCAAAGGTTCCAAACCTACTCGTGCCAACCCTCGACACCTAAACCAAGCTAGACTCAAACTAGTACTGCCCGGGCAACACAATCCTAGCCGGACTCTTCCTACCCCAAATACTAGTACATACTAGGTACTTTCCTAATCTAATTACCGGCAACGCTGACTAGTCCTAACCGTACATAACTAGCACACTTCTAGCCAAATTCAAATTTGTTTGGATTAACCTAACAAGGATCACCTATTTCGGAGACAGCGAAGGAGCAGTCTGTTCGATGAGGAGAAGAGTGGCGGCAAGAAGAAGAAGAAGAAGAAGAGCAAGGAAGGCGGTGATGAAAGGAGTGAGAAGAACAAGGCGAAGGAAAGGAAGAAAAAAGATGCAGAGGCGCACAATAGGTAGAGATAGTAGTTTACATTAGCTTGTCCTGTTATTTGGTTGCAGTTATGTGGGAGTTTGAACTGGCTTTTCTATTTGCTCTGTGCCCCTTGCAACAAACCGGCCGGCTATGGTTTCGTAGGCCTAATATACTATCTTTGGGTTACTGCAATTCAACTGAAATGGAGTAAATTGCAAAAAACATCGACACTTCAGGCTAGGTTTGCAGGAACCACACATTTACGGAATTGTGCCAAAACGCATTATTTTTTTCATAATTTTTTGCAAAAAACACTAGTCGCCGGCTTGGGCCGTTTTGAGCATGATTATGACAGGTGGATCCCGCCAGAAGGGGTGACGTGGCAAAAAAAAAGTCAATTACATCCCGCTACAATCAGTTAGTAATTATTGGGTTGAGCAATTGATTCTTCCCTTTGCATGCTTGTGCTTCATGCAATGTTTTTAGATCCATTTGTGGCGACTTCATCAATCTCAAGATATGTTGGCTCAGTGTTTCATAGGTGCTCATATGGATAGGTTTGCATGCATGTGTTCATAGGAATGAGTGTGCCTGCGTGTTGTGAGCGTCTGCGTCTGTAATATGTTTCTAAAAAAAGAGTATATTAAGGAAACAAATTGTTCGTTGCAAGAGCATTTCTCGTGCACTTTACCTGTTTTACTAACTCTCACAGCAAAACAAACATACTCACCAACTGAATGGAATTAGAGAACAGAAGATCAAAATGATTATTACATAAGCTGTTGCATGCTCAACCCTAAATGACTAGTACGCCATAAGAGAAAAACACATGTAACAAAGTTATGGAAGCAAGCAGGATCAACTCAACTTACAAAAGTAAACTAGAGGACCCAACCCCCATTGGCCTAAATGAGTTGCAAGAACATACTTGTTCTATCGGGCCACAGAAGCGTAACTGTAAGAAGAAAGGAGAACTTGCAAGGACTGTAAGCACAAGAAAACAGTACAACCAAAGCAGGCACATCACAGCGGCTCATTGTCCAGCCACCGCTGACCCATGGCAAATCCTTGTTTAGGCCGGAAGCTGATTGCTGTATGACCACCACCCTACGTACGTAAGAAGCAAATTCATGGTTTTATACTGTCACATCTGCATCCTCTATACATTATAAGTAACATATGTAACGGGGTTTGTATTATGCATAAATATATGTAGAAAGGAGAACGATATACCTTTATTGTCGCAAATGTCATGTGATTGGCATAACCAATTGTAAATCTGCATAGAAAGAATGTATTCCTAATCAAATAACACAAAACTAACATAACTAAAATGTGAAAGCATGTACAATTCTTTTGCTGGCGGGGTGTTGTAATCCCTTGGCAGCATAACATACTGTTGCTAACATATTAATTGTAGACAGAAGGCGCCGACGCGCCTGGCTTTATAGAATAATAGAGCCCTAAACAAAACAACCTTTGTTAAATTATATGCAACATAACCTGTCTTTTGCAAAGTTCTATACGAGTACGAGTTATTCTACAGAAGACATGCCGCCCATCATTGGTGTAGCATTGAGACCTTTATATGCTTTGATGTAACTCCTGGTTTACTGAGTGAGGAGGTTCAGTCAGATTGTAATCACTGGAAAGGGTTAACAATTTTTATGCTTGGTCTAAGAACAAGAAAAGAAAGAGAGAGGAGGATGGCACAATTTAAAGGATAAGAGTCAGATGACTTGACCCTGCAGACTGGCCATCAACATGCCATGCTCTCCAGTCATCAACAATGGAGAAGTTGAAGGATCTTATCCAAGCCTGTGTTCCCAAATGTGGTACCACCATATCATGGTCTCAGCTGCACTCACAGGTCATGATTTTAAGTGGTGGAAAAAATATATATAAAAACACAAATAGGTCCTCTCGCAAGAGAAAAGATAGTTGTATGTTACAACTCGAGAATTCTCCTTTGGTCCTTTCACCTGAACACAAGCGCACGGTAACCCCTGGTGGTGAGGTTGAACTGATACTCTATGCTACTTGGAACGTCGTACGCATAGGGGAATCCTTTGATGCATCTTACCCACGTGCCAATGGTTCCCTATATGCCATACTTTTGTAGTCAATAATCATCACAACATCATTCCAAATAATTTGTAAGCGTATGATGGCAGCCAGTTTAACTTCAGAGCAACAGAAGCATGCATAACCTTACTATGTAGGCATTCTTTGAGGAAGATATTTTTTCCCTTTTTGATGAAATGGAGTTGAATGTCGATTTCATTGAGGAAATCAAGCGTTAAAAATAAAAAATCATAAAGGCCGCTAGCCATTTAGACAAACAGAAAAGATATCAATTGGTTACCTTCTTGATCCTAAGAGCATCTCTAGTCCTGTGATCATTTGCCCAAATGTTAGACAGGTAGTACCGGTAATTCTGCATTTCAGAAAGCAATGTAGACAAATTCACATTAGAGGAACGAGGAATTCATATAATTCAAAAATTCACACTCTATCAAATCTTCTAATGAAGTAACACTCCAGGGATAAGACTAACTTACGAAACAATTGATAGTAGGATGAGGAGATGATTTGCTTAGCTGAAATTGTTCTTCTGACAGAAACCTATTTCTTGAAGTATCATTCTTCACAGGTTTTGGTGCATCATGTACACATCTATCACCCAAGATATATTCTTCGTACAGTTCAGAAATGAGCTGAGAGACCAGTGCATTAATCAAATGGTAGCTACTATACGTGATTTCGGAGAAATAATTTTTCAGTAAAATAAACTTACATTTTCAATGGTATTTATAACCACAGCGCACATTTTATTCATTGGGCTTACATAGTTACCTTCACAATTCTCCATTGCAGCCTTTGAAAAGGAAAAGGAAAAGGAAAACAAGATCCATGATTTTGTCACTGCTCTTTGTTAAAACATATGAATATGGAATTACCTCATATAGTTGATCAGAAATGATTCCAACACCATGACCATATGGTATTCTGGAATTGAAATCATCAAACCTTAAGCCTGTAATAGGGTTGCCAACTAAATAGCCCTGTAAAAAATTGAATTGATAAAACAAAAAGGAAAACATATGATTTCACATTACTTGTGTATCTCTTTTGTTGTTACCATTAAATATATACTATCTAATACTAACGATCATTTGACACCTTGAGATTAATCTCATCTTGCCTTCTTTGTTCGTTTCCTGGAGTAAAGTAAGAACGAAAAGAATGTCATCACATTATGAAGGGATTACTAGGATAAGAGGATCAATGAGAAAAACTTGAAACATGAATTGGCCCATGTCGAAGCTAAATGGTGGAGACATTAGAAATCTAGCTAAGCCAAATAAAGGGAAAGAACAACATTTAACTTTAAGAAATTGTAATTTTTTTATTCCATCAAATTGTTGTCAAGTCTACATTTGGTCCATGAACTTAAAAACGAGGAAAACCTAGCCCCTCGCCGCTTTTAACCAAGACATGACACTGTGACAATGTTTGATTTATAGAAATTTTCTTGTAAAGGTACCACTTGTGTGGTACGCTACGTATAAGTCATAATTAAGTTACTACTCTCACGGTTAAAGAGAATGCGTCATTTTGAATCAGGGTCTAGTCCAAATATTTACTTGGCTACTATATTTATAAATTATCTTATATTGGACATTTGCATTTGCCTTGAAAAATATTTTGACAATATTACAATTTTCTATTTTACAAGGCTATACGGATAAGCAATTGATAGACAAAGTATTCAGATCCTATATATCTAATTAGTTGGTCCCTACAACTTCTATTTATTATTTCAACACGCGCACACCTCATGCATGCCACCTCATCAACCCTACTACATTTATTTCTCTCAACATGCATGCACACATCCCACCTCTCCATGCATGACACCTCATCAAATTCACTATTCTATTTCCCAACATTTCCCACCTCACCATGTATGTCACCTCATTATTCTAACTACTTCTATTTCTCTCAACATACACGCAAAATTCTAATTATATTGTATAAATATTTTATAACTATACAATAATCATATTTCAACCACTACTACTTCTAATTCTCATAACATGCACCCACATCACCGCATACCACCTCATCAACCCCACTACTTATATTTGTCTCAACATGCACGGAAATTGGTAATTATATTCTACAAATATTTTAAAATTATATACTAATCAGCTACAATAGATCATATGTGTTTTTAGTTTCCATTCTCATATTCAAATTCCATCTAGTCTCACCAAAATACATAGCAACTCATTCCCGCAGCAACACATGGGGTATCGTCTAGTTTTTTCAAATTTTGAACCAACACGGATAATTTAAGATACTCTATCATATTGTTGCCTTAAATATGGTTATGCTGTGGTAATCTCACCATAGTTTGCTTAAATGCAAAGAAAAGAGAAAAAATGTCGGGTGGTGAAACGGGAAAGTCTCTAGATCCCAATTTTCATGGAGGGATGATTCCTTCCCAAGAGAGGCTTTACGGATCCATTTCTCATTCGCTCCAGAGGGACGATGAGGCAAACGTTTGCGTCATTCGCTCTGGGAGGCTCAAATGAGCGAACGGAACACCCATGGGGATTGCCACGTGTCACTGTGTTGAGATTCACGCACGGGACAGGACACAACACCAAGCATTCGCAAAAAAACCTTCCCAAAGCATGTCGCTCTATAACATTTCCTATTCTTTTAAAAGAAAAATCGTGGGAGAAATTAAAGTATGGACGAGTCTAGAACAAACGAGAAGTGATTGTGATGTGAGATTTGTGCATATTGTGCACTTTTAAAATCAAAGGTAAAATTTCAATGGTAATTCATTTAGAAGAAAAAAATTGGATGATGAAAATCTGAAAGATTTTAGAACAAAATATAAGTGCTTGTGTTTTGAGGTTTGTGATTATTGTGCATTCTAAATCATAAAGTAAAATGGCAAGAGAAATTCATTTACAAGAACAAACTTTAGATAATTAAAGTAAGGAAGATCCTAGAACAAAGGAGAAGTGCTTGTTTTGAGATTTGTTACTTATGCTTAATCTCAATCATGAAATCTTCTAGATAGTGCATGTGGCAGAACTCAGTGACCAATTGTGCTCGAATTTGCCACCTTTGTATCATCGGGTTGACTTCATCCAATGGTCAACATTCAAAATTATTTGTACACTGTATAATGGTATAAATACAGATAGATTGTCCTGGAGTGTTGCGAGTGTGCAATGCTAACTGGACTGGCCTACTAGGCCTTTTCTTCATTTTCCTGATATATATACGTTGGGGGTTTGGCCAATTTCGTAGGGTGTGGCCCGCCCCTCCCTTACACCATGTTGGATCCGTCTCTGCATGGTAAGAACGGCGTGAGGGCGTATATCCCTTGTTTAAGGCGTTGTTGCGAAAAAGTCAAATTAGTCATAGGTGTTATGTTCATGTTTTGTAATGAGATATTTGGTTGTCTATGCTATGTACTCTAATTGTTGATATGTTTTGCGCCGTTGCATTGCATCAACTTTAATAAAGTAAAACTTTAATAAAGATGTTCTGCCAAAAAAACTTCCATAAAGATGGTGGCGAATGTCGCAATGATGCATGGGCCAGGGGTTCTAATATCATTTATTTATAAAAAGTAGGGAAAATGTTTTGCTTAAATGTGTCTGTGTGGACATGTGGTGATTATCAAAAGGGATCTTGTTTAAGACATGATTTATGTATATTTACATGAAAATGCATCGTGTTATCTAGAGTTACATACCTTGTGAAATGTATTGTGCAATAAGTGGAACAACCTTTCCAGCATATGAAGTTCCTCCAATGTAAAAAGGATTTGAAGCATAGCGTGGGTGATCGCTGAACCACTGCAAATATAGGCATATGACGTAATAAGAAGAGATAAATATTTCAATTATGAAGGGAGACCACAACATGTGTAGCCTTCTTTTCACCTTGTCCAGAAATGTGACAACTTGCCAAGAAGACGATATGTCTCCAACATCGTAACCTTTGGGATCATGAGCATACGAGAATCCAGCGCCAACGGGAGTATCCAAAAAGATGATGCTTGCAATCTGCACACTTGCAGACTAATTAATAACTACTCCCACCGTCCAGAAATAATTGTTGCTCAAACGGATGGATAATTGAAGGAACTGAAACATCTTGTGTGCCAGAGACCTCACCTTGGACCATGAATAGGGGTTATAGACAAGCTGCGGCAAGCTACCGTTATACGGTGCCACCACAAAGTTTATAGGACCTGTGAGAGGAGAAAGCATCAAACAGACAAATTAATTTAAACCGATGGTAAGAAAGACCATATGGAGGGCAACATCTATGCATAGTTAAAAAAACCAAACCGGTGATCGAACCGGCGAGGCCGTCGGTTCAGGTTTTTACTAGTCGGACCACTGTTAATTTGTTTTGTGTATTCGTGTCATAAAAAATAGAGTAAAATACAATCATTTACTTAAATCTAACAAAGAAAGTTGGCTAACCAGGGTGGTTATAGGGCCAAAGCTGCAACATACGCAGCTATATCCAGCATCCATCCTGGGTTTTAATCCCTTTGACCCAGGTTATTTTTTATTTTTGTGAGTGGCACTGGTTCAACTGCCGGTGTTTTGCCTCCGGTTCATGGAAAAAATACGGCCGATTTACACGGGTTTTTACCAGTCCAATTGCAGGTTGGTCTTTTTAGCTTAAAAGCCGGTAAGGTCGCCGGTTTCGATTTTTATCGATCCAGTTTTTTAAACTATGCGTCCATGTCGCCGGAGCTGACAAACTGTTTGACCGAGGGAGTGAGACGTACCGACTTGGAAGACCATGCCGCAGAAGCCCGAGCAGCGGGGGCCGCCGGTGAGCCACAGGATGACGGGGTCGGTGCCGGGGCTCCTCTCCGACTCCACGAAGTAGTAGAAGAGCTCCGTCCCGGTCTCCTCCTCCACGCCCACGTACCTGGATCATCACACCGGCCATGAGATTTCAAGGTCGGAGTCGGACCAGGAATTCACCAAGCTTAGCTGTGGCCTTTGGGGTAGCTAGCTTACCCTGTTTCGAGGTGGAAGGGCAGAGGGCCATCGAATCCTGGCAGGTGGGTAACCACCGCCGGCGCCGGCGTCGACGCCGGGAGACGGGCAACTAGATGCAGCAGCAGTAGCAACGGCAGGACGTGGAAGGACATTTTCTTCCTAGCTTTCTCACTTGTTCGTTTGTTAAAGGTACTGATTGCCTGATTTGGAGCAGATCTGGATCGATCTATGAACTAGCAAGGTAGGTAGTATAGTACGTACAGGTCCCGCTATAATGAAGTGAGAGGAGGGTCTGCTAGTGCCGTACGTTGGTTAGGGGGTCCGGCTCAGGTGCAGTGCATGCAGGGGTCACAGCACAGATGCCATTAGTCAAGCCACATGTGTCTTGGTGGGGCCAGCTAAATGGGTTTTCTATTTATTTATTTACTTTCTCCTACCAATTTTCCCCCATTCTCAATCTTCTCCTTTCTTCCTTCTAGACTAGGGGGCTTCAGATTGGGACAAAGATTGGCACTCCATGTGCAGTCTCTCTGTAAATGAGATTAATAGTAGTACCAAACTAACCATGTTGGTTACCGTCTTCTGGCTTCCAACTTGTATGTGTTGATCCAAGTGCTCAAGTCCATTCAGTAACAAGTTTGTGTTTCTTTCTGTCGACCCTTGTAGTCCAGGCATCGGTTGAAAAAACCGCACGCACGGGAACTGAAACTATACATCGAGGAGCTCTACTGGGGATCTGGCAAACAGGTGTTGCTCCTGGGGCATAGCAAGGGCGGAGTCGATGCGGCTGCTGCGCTCTCGTTGTACTGGTCCGAGCTCAAGGGCAAGGTCGCTGACCTGGCATTGGTTCAGAGTCCATACGGTGGCACCTTCCGACATCCTTCGAGAAGGCCAGATTGCTGACAGGGAGACGAGGAGGATCATGGAACTGATAGTGTGCAATGCAAACTAATCAAGGTCATTCACTGTCTTTGTTCATACCTTAACTAAACTTGAGTTGCTTTCATATCATGCATGTTCTCTGAACCAGTGACCCGCATCGCGCAGGCCGAGCTCCGATCCTCCCGCTACTACCGGTGGCACCCCTGCCGCGCTTCCTGGGACTCCGAGTACGCAGTGTCATTGCTCGCTTCTCTGAAGCTGCCCGTGGTTATATCGCCTTTCTCTTTTTTTTTTAAGACTAGGGTAACTACCAGAGGCATTGTCCTGAGTCTCTACGCTAAATGATAGGGGGCAGTGCTATATGTGGGTCATCTGAAAAGTTATATTGGGTAAGTCGATTTTTGGGCCATTAGATTATGATCCAACGACAGTCCTTCTTTCTTCTTTCTCCAGCTTTGTTTCTCCTCCAACTGTTCACTCTCACGCAAAATCGTTGTAAATTCTCACTTAGCACTGCCCCTACCATTTAGCCAAGATACTGGGGATGATGCCTCTGGTAATGTGTCACCCTAGTCTTAAAAAAGAGCAACACATTGTCATAGCAAACCGGGAAATGTAAAGAAGGCACTAGCAATAGTAGAAGTTACATGGACCCTTCCCTAAAGTCGAAGAGGCATGGGAGTCGCGGTATTAAACACAAATGGGGGCTGATGAGGGAAGGGATCCTGAGTGTGAAACACATGATGCCCAGAAAACATCTATCAATCATAAATTTACAAGTCACTCAATTGTTTTACTTGTATTGCAAAAAAAAATTTGATAGCTTACCAAGTTGACTGCTTGGTACTCCATTGTTTTCCTACTTTGAAAGGTTTGAGTTTGTCGTGAGTTCACTAACCTTTTTTACTCTCACATGTGGAATATTTTTTGCCAAAAAAGGAAAATAAAATAAAATACTAAGGCAACAACGATCAAAACTCAACACAGTATCAAAATGTATTTTTCCATTGAAATGTGAAGGATTGGTTCCTATCCTACATAAGAATAGAAATCCAATCCTACAAACCAAAGGGCTCCATAGAATTTTTTTTCCTTTGAAAATCCTATCCTATGAAATTCCTACAAACCAAAGGAGGCCTAAGGGTGTGTGTCCTTGGTTGAGGGTTCTTGTTTGTTTTATGCTTTATGTTTTTGTTATTCTATTTTCTTCTCTTTTTGATTTTAATTTACTTTTTATATATTTAAATTCATGAACATTTATTAAAAGTGCGAACATTTAAAAAAACCAGAACATGTTTTGAGATTCATCAATATTTTTCAATTTTTTTTAATATTCTTAAAGTTCATGAAAAAATTTAATTGTGATCTCTATTTCAATTTTGTGAATAGTTTTTGAAATCCATGATTTAAAAAAAATTGTGGAATACTTTTTAAAATATAAGGTTTCTAAAGTTGCAGCAGTTTTACAAATCCAAGAGTTTCAAAATCCATCTACATCTTTTGGTTTAACAAACTTTTGCCAAATAAAATGATAGCCACCTTCTTATAAGATATCAGTGGAGCATGCCGGGAAAATATGCTAAGCGAGTCAGTGGACCAGGGAGCAGAGTTGAGTGAGCGGGAGCTTCATGGGCCGTCCCATATGAGTATTATAGTAGATATTTATGCTTTTGGTGTGGAATAGGAGCTCCCAAGGAGCTCGCACAACAACCGATGTTTGACATCGAAGCCGAAATGTGAACATTTTCATATTTTAAATCATGAACTTCTTAAAAAGTTTTGAATATTTTTTAAATCCCATAACATATTTTGAAATCCATGAACATTTTTAAAATTTTGAATATTCTTAAAGCTCATGGATTAAAAAAGTTGAACTTTATTTCAAATTTGTGATTATTTTTAAAAATCCATGAATATTTATGAAATTTGAAACATTTTTAAAAATTGTGATCATTTTAAAAATCCAAGAGTTTTTTAAATCCATTAACATCTTTTGGTTTAACAAACTTTTCAAAATAAAATGATAGCTGCATTTTTATAAGATATCAATGGAGCATGTCAGAAAAAAAATGCTAAGCAAGTGAGTGGACCAGGGAGCCGAGCTGAGTCTTGAGCCACCCCATGCGAGTGTTATAGTAGCAATTCCATGGTTTCGGTGTGGAATAGGAGCACGCAAGAGGCTCACACAATGACCAGCGATTGACATCGACCTGAAATGTGAACATTTTCATTTCATTTATGAACATTTTAAAAAATTGTGATCATTTTTTAAAATCCCAGAACATATTTTGAACTTTTATGAACAATTTTTGAAAATCATGAATATTCTTTAAGTTCATGAAAATTATTAAAGTTTGTAAAATTAAATTAAACTTGTGAACTTTATTTCAATTTTGTGAATATTTTTTTGATCCCTGAATATTTTAAAAATATTTAAACTTTTAAATTTTTTTTTTTTTAATTTGCCATAGTTTTATAAATCGAATAGTTTTTAAAGTCCGTGAACATCTTTTGATCTAACAAAAAAGTTCAAAAGAAACGGTAGCCACCTTTCTATAAGATAGCAATGGAGTTGCCGGAAGAATAATGTTAAGCAAGCGAGTGGATCATGGAACCGAGCTGAGTTAGTGGGAGCTTCGTGGGCTGATCCATGTGAGCGTTCATGCCGCGATTTAATGGTTTTGGGTGTGGTATAGGAGCCCCGAAGGGGCCCACACAACGACCAGTGGTTGAAATTGAGGCTGAAATGTGGGACACCATGGCCAAAGGTTGACCATGCCACACATCGAGCAACTCGATTCTCCTCCCATAACATATAATATCTCTAGCAGCAGCCCAACACGATATACGAACGGAAAACACACCACTAGAACGTAATTAAAGGCCAAGCTAACGCAGATAATGAAACCAAAACGAGACAACCGACCATAGTAACCTGCTAGGGAAAAAAAGACAATTCCACAAGTAAAGACCAGTGGGGCCAAGTGCACTTAACCTCTAGTATGTACTAATGAATTGGTGTGTGGATCAAAAAAGACACACATAAACTTTGTAAAACATGTCTGAGTCTGAATTGAAAGCAGATACTTATCCAATTCGATGGCCAAAGAACACTTGTCCGTCACCCATGTGAAAACTTTTCTGCATAAATGGATGAACGACAAATACCATAAGCGTGGAAACAAAATTGCCGTGAGAAGCATACAATTACCAAATTCATTCTTACTAAACATGACTTGCAGAA